AAATAAGCACGCCTTCCTAAGGGCCACTTACCACGCCACTTCTTTAGCCAACACAGCAGGGAGGCTTTACCGGTGACATCTCCTTGACTAATTGCAACACACCAATAACAGAACACTTGAAATTACTCCACAATCCTATTTAAGCGCCCCTTATCTCGTGCTCTCTCAGGTCTGGCTGGACGCAGTCAACACTAGTCCTAGCTTCGCCAGGGGCCACTGCCGCCTGAGATAGCAATTAGGAGTTTTGTACACAGTAAATCACTCCTGGTGACTTCTGTCTTTTAACTTCCAACCGGGGATTTCGGACTGATGATTGTAGTGATCCGAGTTCACCCACGACTTAGACCACTACATATCCGCCAAATGGGTACTACTACCAGTAAATGTGGATGCACACTAGTGAAAAGAGGCCAAGCTTCGCAGTGGCAAACTCAACTGCTAGCCATTGGTTACGTCAGGCTCGAGTAGAAAAGAGTAATCCCTACATTCTGACTCGTACCGGTAGAGCTTTATAGCTATGGGGAGCATGCGGCTTGGAAAGCAACCAGGAAGAGATGCAAAGCCTATTCTGATTAACTCTAGTGTTCTGTTCATCGAGATTTCGGGTGGAACAACATCATGGCGTTAGCATTTTGCTCAGTATTTATCTTCGGTTTACCAGCTGTCATAATCAGTAGACATTTTGGTTTTAGCAACACGTGTTAACGTTAACGGATTGTTTGGTGGATACAAGCGAAAAGGTGAGTCCCGGGAACTAATTGACGATACGCAGACGCGATCGCTGTGACGATAAATTTATTCGCCCGACGTTTCAGGTTTTTGCCGGAACCCTTAATCAGAGACTGGTAATTCATACACGGAATTGCAATATTTTTAGGATACAGTCCTTAAGCTAACAATACATGGTTCTCTTGCGTGATAGACGATTGTCCTGTAGTGCGATAACTGCTTGATGGCCGTCATTTACGCCATTAATATCTGAAATGTCGCCAGCCGTATTTGCTGATGGGCTGATGATTGCATGGGCACCAAGCAGCTATCAGACTAGCGGACGAGTATCCGTGCTGACGGGTGAAATGGTAATTGTCATAGGTACGTACTAGCATAGCACCTGTTTTCCATGAAAACTGCATTTCCCAATGTATAAAGTACACGAATTTTATTATTTTTCCGATTATGATTTGGATTATGAATTTAAAATGCATGAATAAAGTTATTTTCCTTATGGTCGCATCTACATCTTCTCGGTTTTACGTTCAACATTGGATTTCTTTAGTTAGTAAGTTACTCTTACTTGTCTGATTTTGCAGAATCTGCATCAAACTTGCCAGTCATGGGCTGATCCTTCCCCTTGAGTTATTTTAAGGATTAATGGATAAAAAATAACTTGGGTAAGCACAACTATAAGCAACGACGTCCCCGTATTACAGGTGGCCTCTCGCCAAATTTCTAGCGGGCTTAGTGTTAGAGTGGAG